AAGCTCTCTACACTGAGCTACATCTTCAGCTATTATAGTTAATTTTAAGTCGAGTTAACCCTGTAAGTTATTTTGAGATTTTTTTTTTTTTTTTTTTGGTACCGGAGATCGAACTCGGGACCTTGCACTTTTGAGGCAGGCGGTGGAACCACTGAGCTAAATCCCCGGCCCTACTTTGAGATCTTTAAAAGCCAAGAGCTTTGATTTTTATTTGTAGTTTTGCTTTGATTCCAGAATTCTGCTTCTAAAGCAAATTGTTTATTGAACTTTTCCACCAAGATGCTCATCTATAAATCAAGAATTATGAAACTTAATGCTGACAAATCCTTTGTTCTCACCTATTAAGAGGATAATAGGGTTATAAATATATAGCTCTGTTGATCTTATCAAATTCCCCCATGGATGGCTTCCATATCTATCTTGTTGACAATTTAATGCTCAATTAAAAATCTTACTGCAAAGAAAGCTGTTATATTGAGAATAATAAAATGGGGAATTGCAAATAACAATTTATTTTAAATATTTACATTCTCATACTGGCAAACAAGGGTGTAAGAGTGATATGTCACCAGGTAAGTGGAGGTAGAAACTAAATCTCTTGATATTTGTGTTTTTCTGGGTTACATGTGTTCCTTGATTGTTAAAAGTGTATATTTATGGGGCTTCCTCAAAGTGTATTAACTAAAAACAAAAATGGAAAAATCTATTCAAGAAAGTATTTACTTTCGAATAAAAACTTAAGTCTTCTAAGTATTAAATCTAAAACCCATCTGGCTTCTGTTAATCAGTGATCTAATTTGGGAAAGAAGTGTGATAAATTTGCAGATTTACAACACTAATAGAAGCAAAACAGGCCATTTTATTACACTAGAAGTTTCTCATGATGTCTGCCAGACTCCAGAGGCTTCAGACTACAGTCTCAGGCCGCCATCCTTCCCCCTAAATGAGCATGACTGCTGACGGCTGAACTTCACCTCATGGTGCTGCCCCTTTTGTCTGAGGTAGTGAGGGGGTTGATTTTAGTCAGCATATTCTTTGTTCCCGTTTAACTTTTTTTTTTTGGTACCGGGGATCGAACTCGGGACCTTGCGCTTGTGAAGCAGGCGCCGGAACCACTGAGCTAAATCCCCAGCCCCCATTTAACATTTTTTACAAATGGTATGTAGCTATAAGTTTATATTTATAGATGTTTATGCAAGTGAAGACAGGATTAGTGAATTTGCTGGAAATACTGTTTACTACTATTTGTTGAGCTCTTA